TGTAGTAAGTCACGTGGGTACGTGTCACTAGTTGTAGTATGACAAATATATGAGATATATGCATACTTTTTCACGAGTTCCTCATCTTTCTGACTGTGTAATGTCGTGCATTGAATTTTAACAGAAATGCGAACGAGAGACGTTATTATCTTTGACCCATCAAATGAATGTGGTCATTTATTTTCAGAATCAAAGTTTAACATCAAACATTTACATTAATTTGGCAAAATATGAAAATAATAACAGACAAGTTTCACAAATAATGAACTTCAAATCACTCGGCGGTGATTTGAGGACTTTGCTTCAGATATTTCTAAAATATCTGTACTGATTTATGAGAAAGAGGAGAGTTTAAGATGAAATGGAGTTATCTTACAGAGAGATATGTGAGGAAATTAATATCTGTTGACCAGAAATTTGCACGCTCCGTCAGGTCTCAGCTTGGTCACGGTACACTTTAGTCGAAGAAGAAGCCTTTACCTGGTTGATGATAGATCAGCTCGATAGAGAATCCTCCAGACTTTTCAGCGTCTCCGTTGAGAGCAGCTAAAATCCTTCGAGAGTCGTGCGTGGGTCGTTCAAACAGAAATTATAATTCCAAACGTCTCTGGATCATCCTGAACGCGTTCTGCATCCAAGAACTCTGAACAACTCTCTAGTTCTTTAACTCTCAGCAACTCTTCATTGTCAGCAACTCTTCTCAGATTCCAACTCTCTCAGATTCCAACTCTCTAACAGAACCGAGAAGTTCTCACATTTTAAATGAGTTTACTTCCGGGTTTACTTTAGAGCTTTCTGATTCGTGGATGGACCAGAAAGAGGTGTGGTTTTTGACGTAAGGTATTATCAAAAGTCGAGGTCAGGGAATGAATTTGTTTTACAGACAGAAAAGATTATTGGAGAAACAGCAGACTTTTTGGAGCCTCACTCTGTTGTATCTTTCCAAATAGTAAAACATGACATCCCATTTTCAGTAAACATTTAGTTGACCGAAGCTTCAACTTTCACATACTTACGACAGCTTGCTCATTGAAGACAGAAAATCAAGAAATGCATATTAACCTGATTTCTTCTTTGAATGAGGAATAAAAATCATTACTTACTGTTTATGTAAAATAAAATGAGTAGTTCTTTTTCAACCTGTAAGCATTGAATGGAACTAACACAATTTGATTATCAAACATTTGTAAAACAGTAATGATTATAGAGGATTGTCTTTTCTGCTTGATTAATTCAAGAAAGAAAGTCATCAGATGAAATAACAGTCTCTGTCCATCTGATAGATTTGAGGTCATCAGGGTCAGATCAGGTTCACTACA